TTTCAGTGCCATATGAGTCGTACTCCACCTTACTGGCTGAAAAATCACCTTCCTCGTCTTTGGCAAGCCTAGCAGAGTATTTCTTCTTGCTTCTTGGGTTGCGGCAATCTGGAGAAAGCCCCCTTAACTACCTTAGGTACTCACTGAAGGGAGCTTCCTGCCCGTGGTCCCTGGATTGAGATGGTAGTCGAGCTGGGTACGATGATAGACTCTGTGAACCATTGGCTGCTTGGTCCCTCCCATGTGACCTCTTTTAAAGTCACATGCCCCATTCTTTAGACTTAATAATGGGCCTGGCCCATTGGTTGCTTCTTTTGAATTTCTGTTTGTATTCTATCCAAGATCTTTTGGGTCTGGTGGGCCCACTCCTTTTGCCAGCCCATACTTAATCAATTTCAAAATATTTGAAAACCTAACCAGGTCCAACATTTTTTCGCCAAAGCCTGGCCCAGTATTGGACAAAAGGTCCAGATCAACATTATTTGTCCTACCACAACTGAACCAGGCATTTAAAAGAGCACCTTCTTTGCTGGTGCCTACATGACCCATGACCTGGATGTGTCACTAGCTGTTGCTTTTTCTTGCTGTCTGGGTGGATCAAAGGAGCTTGGAGTCGGTCTACATCCCCTTGTAAGATTTTTAGGTTGCCTTTCTAATGTGACCTGTCTACCAATTGTCTGCCCAAGGCTACCACCTGTCAGCACCTGTACATATGACCTACCAAACACTTTCCCTTCAATCGGTGGTTCCTTTCTAGCTCGACTTCTGTTCTCTTTTTTTCACTAATTCTTGTCCTTGACTTCCCATATTTGTGAAATTTTCAGACCAGTTTGAATTAACCACTCGCTGAGTTGCACGTAACCCATTTTCTTGAACCTTCTCATCTTCAGCCTGCCTTCCTGATTTTCCTTACAGATTGTCCAAGTGTCCAGACGCCCAACCAATTATTCTGTATCCAGTCAATTGGCAGCTTAGAATCTCCTTCCACCTCAAGTTGTTGGAAAGCCTTGCCAACCTTAGACCTTGAAGTAGGGCCATCAGTTTGGCTCTCAAGGAGTTCTGCACCCCTAGAGGTCCATATCTAAAAGCTCCCCCAGTTCCAGAAGGACCAGGGTTACTTGTTGAACTTCCATCAGAATTCAACTTTACCTTTTGATCAACTGATGGGGAACAGAAATCCTAAACAATAGTCTTTAGAGAATCAAAAGATACTACAGCATTCCAACCTCTAAGAATGTCATCAGCAAATGAACCATCTTTACAGTTGTGCAGTCAACTATTTCCTCGGATTTCTTTCTTCCCAAACTGACTACAGCTGCTCTTGTTGATCTTCACATTACTCTACCCCTCTTCTGTGGTTGCCTAAAAAAACTTGGGTTAAAGAGGGCTGCCACATCTGAATGAGGGGTCCACCTGCAACCAAAAAGAAGAGAATGGAGTCCAAAATAAATAACACAAAAAGACAAGAGATTAATAGATGTGTGATTGTATCACCAAATCTTAAGCAAAGGCTACAAACATGGGGTGAGAGGCAATACTTTGGCCTTTTTTTTCCTGAAGCACATCCAAAGTATTGATATTTTGAAGCATCACCACCCAGCAAAAAGCCCTAATTTTGGAGGTACTGGGCTGCACCAAACTTCCATTGTTGGAAAGGTCCCTGCTAGATAGAAGTCTGAAGCAAGATTTGAAACAAAGAATAAATGAATAATCCAGAGGAAACCCACCAAATTCTAGTATTTGAGCATGACTGATCCAAGAACATTGAACTTAGAATCAAAATAAAATCATCTACCAACCCCATTTCGTACTCCCTTAAGCATCTCCTCAATCCCAAATCCCAAGAGGTACCATTATCACACTTTCTTCCTCGCACAAGCCAAACATTTTCCCAAAACCACACTTTTTTCCTTGTACAAGCATCATACCTACAGAAAGGAAGAAGGGAAGGAAGAATACCGTGGATAGCTTTCCAAGGAGAATACCTAGAGGCCATAGGGTCGAGGCCAGCATCCCATCCGTTGTTTGCCAAGCCATGAATGCATATAAATTTTTTCTACCACAATCTATCGGTGCGTATGGGTACGAGATACGGTATGAACAAGGGCATATTCCTTGAATCGTGCCACTCATGCGTATTGGGCCAATATGGGCATGCATCGGTGCATATCACATTTTATCAAACCAATATACACTAATATGAACAAGCGATTATAGCATGATTTGAACTCTAATCATTGTATCAAACCCGATATGCACTGATATGAACTGATACCACACCACCTTGCTTCTTGTGATATTGAATGAAACATAATAATTTTTATAAACCTTTGTATTCATATGCAATCCAAACAAATAACATATGCTTATATTCAACAACTCAACTTCAACTAAAAATAAAAAAAAATAATATTCAGGATTGGTATTTTATAGACTAATGGAATAATCTATTAAATCCACATTTATATCAAAAAATGATTTTTATCTCAAAAAATTAAACAAAAATATTAGTAATAGAATAATTATTTTTAAGTACTTAAAATTTCAAAATTTGTACATGATAAATATCTTAAAATTTGTATATATTTTTATAAATTATTAGTTATTATTTTAATTTACATTAAATAAAAATATATTTATTATTTACAAGAATAAAAATATTGTTTACAAAATATTTGAGAATATAATATTGAATGAATTTATCAAATCAACTTACTTTTATATCATAAATGATTTTAATTTCAGAAAAAATATAGAAATAAAAATACTAATAATGGAATAAGTATTTTAGTAATTAAAAATTATGGATTTGCATATGAAATATGTCTCAGAAATTTTAATAGATTTGATAAAATACTTATTGTTTAAAAAATAGAAATATTGTTTACTAAACATTTGAGAGTTTAATATTTAGTTTATTTTTTTAATGTTAAAAAGTAAAAATAGTAAAATAAAAAGATCGGTATAATAATTAAAATATAATAGTTGCTTATGTTTTGTGCCTTGAACTTAAATAAACAGAATAATGGCTTTGTGCATGTATTAATTTGTAAAAATCTATATAATATGTTTCTTAGACTCTTGATTGATGCATTATTATAAAGTTGTATGATATTGATGCATCCCTCTTTTTTAATTGTTCTATATTTCTTCATATATACCATTAAGATATGCATTTCCTATGTATTTGTACACTATTTATGAAATTTGTATGTATTTCCCTAGCATATCCATGCATTTCATATTTTTCGTCTGTATCCATGCGTTTCCAAAGCGTATCCATATTTGATTGTCCGATACAATACCTATTACCACTACATTGATCTTTGTCCATAACCATTTTCCCAATAAAGTTTGATTCGTCACCTTGATATTTCTTATACATAATCCCCTATCATCTCTACTTTTAGAAACCACCTCCCATTTCACCAAATGATCCTTCTTTGAATCTCCTGGTTCCAATAATAAATCCCTCAATAATCTCTAGTTAATTGACAACCTTACTGGTAATCTTGAAGGTTGAAGGTAGATAGGAAATAAACTGGCAAATTGGCCAAAGTGGATTTAATTAGAGTAATTCTATCGCATAGTGAGTAGTGAGATGCAATTTCTCTTCAACCCTGCAAGCTTTTTTGTGAATCTTTCCTCTATTGGCTACTAAAAACTTTCAAATTTTGGATCCCCTCCCCCTAGATGTAAGCCCGAGTAATGTAACAACCATTCCCATTCCTCATACCCCTCAATCCTACCCAGAAGTCCCACCTCATCTCCTAATCTATTTACTCTTGCCACACAACTCTTATCCCAATTCACTTTAAGATTTGAAACCCTTTGAAATTTAGTTGCCAATCTCTTCAAGTTAATGAGTAACTAGAATCCCCTTCACAAAACAGAATAATGTCATCTGCAAACTGCAGATGTGTTGGTGCCACTGCATCCCTCCCAATTCTCGAACCTCTTATCAAGTTGTCAACATCAACTCTTGTAATCATATCACTCAAAACATCAGCTACTAAGGTGAACAGAAATGGGGAATGAGGGTCAAACTTATTATCAATAGGAGGAAATGCAACTCCTTATCCATTTGCACCACCTTTCCCCGAAACTCCTACATCTTAACACTTCAAGAGTGAACTCCAATCCACTAAATCATATGCTTTAAGTCATTCTATCCGGCCATTTGGTAGAAACTCAGTATAAACCCATCGACAACCTACAACATGCTTTGACGATGGAAGAGTAGTAAACTCCCATGTGTTATTATGTTCAAGAGCGGAAAATTCCTACTCCATTGCTTTGAGCTACCTTGGAGAAGTAGGAGATTCTTGTACAACCTTAGGAATAGGAATATAGGATAGTAAAGGAATAAACTAATGATGGGAAGAAGATAAATCAGAAATTAAGATGGAAGTTAGAAAGAATTTGGCCTACTCTATTTGTTTTGATTATGATTCATCAGGAATATAATTCTTTGATTTGGCCAATTCATCAGGGATAGGAAAAGAAGGTAGTAAAATAATTATGATTCATCACGAATAAACTGATGAACTAATTCTTACGATTTGGCCTACTCTATCCCTGATCGGGATCACCAAGTTTTGAGTCACTGCTGTAAATTAAAAAAAAAAAAAGCCATTATCCAATGTTGGTCTCAGCTATCTGGGGTCTTGGGAGGTGTAGACTGGATATTGTCCTAATCTTTGAATCACTGCAGTAAATCCAATTGGAAATTAAGTCCTGTTTGTGTCCACCAAATGGGTACCATATAATGCACTTTTTTCATTTTCTTTTTGAATATCCATGAGAGTGACTTTCTTGTTGTAGTGATTTTGAAAACATCTTTACTTCTCTTCTACTTATGGTGGCAAAAGGATTCAGATACATGAAGATAAATGTAGTATAATGCATGCCCTGCTCACCACTATCTTGTTCCATCGGTTAGTTAAGTTTAACGACACTGGAAGAGCCGGCTAATGTTCATCATTTTTCTGCCTATTCAGCCACCTCCACCAGTTAATGACACCAATCCGTACAATGTATTTAGACCAAGGGAGAAAGCACACAGACTCCACACAAGAAGGGTGAGTTGCTAAGCTTAGTTTGGTGCATATGACTTTTGTTGCTAGTTAAATATTAAATACCTATTCCAATTGAGTAGATTAGTTTTATTTTTGTTCTTGTTGAAGCACACACAAACCAGATTTACTAGTCAATCAAATTACAAGCTTTTCTCTTCATGGTTTTTAGATGCAAAGGAGAGAAAACAATGTGCAGTCATTTGAAAAGCTTCGTAAGGTAAAAACCACTATCACCTTTTTCCTGTGTATTCATAGAATTAATCTCGGCTAATATGCCTGAATACCATAACTATGGTAATAAGGGGGATCCATTTGAAAGCTTAGAGCTTAGTTTAACATTTCGTGAATTTAAGGTATTGGGGCATATCGGCCGATACTTACTGTAGTGGGGGCTTCCAAATACGCCCCTACAGGGGAAGTTTTGGGTCAGACCCTGGTTCAGGGGGTAGAGGGGTCGGTAGATTGAAAAAAAAAACTAAAAAAAAGGGGGAAGCGAGCCACAGTACAGGCCGATATTGATATTTTGAACCTTGGTTACAATTATGGTCTGACATGCATACATAAGCTAATCTTTCAGTTTGTCTTACAGTTAATATCTTCTTTGTCTTTATTTCATTATCCTATGAAGTAATTGCCTTCCCTCTTTCTTTATGATTTATGTGTTGTATTTACCTTTCCCCAGTTTGATTCTTGAAGTTTTGTTGCTGACATAGATAAGGTAAGCTTGCCATAGTTATATCTACCAGCTCACTCTGGATCTGCTACCCACAAATTGTTCCCACATCCCTACCCACAGAGTGCCACCACCGTGTATTGGGGACATCTCCCCATGAATGACAAGGGAGATATTCCCAATGCACAGCTATAATGTCTCATGGTTAGAGATGTGGGAACAGCTCGTGGGTAGCAGATCTGAGACCCTACCAGATGATGCTTGCATTCCTTTCTGTTCCTAGAATTACAACATAGTAACTTGGATCACTTCATCTTTCTAGTAGCATCTGCAAGTTAAATAAAAATTAATTTAAAGAAAGAAAAGTATGCAAGATGTATATTCCAACATCTCAGCCCTACAAGATCAACTAAACTAAAGGGCACAAGAATAAGGCAAAATACATGACATCAACAAAATGATAAACTTTTTTTCATGGTAAAGAACAATTTTCTCAAAGAAAATTAAAAAGAGCATAGACAGCTTTGGATCAACCAAAAAGATTATAGAGTTACCTTCTCATGCTCTAAACTGACATCACGACCCTATATACCCTCTGCAGATAGGTGCCATAAAAAGACATCTCCATCACCCCAATCATATACACCTTTTTGCTCCTATCACACCGTAGCCCACCTACCACCTCTGAGCTGATAGATTCCTCACCCTATCTTGACTCCCTCTACCTGTTACACTTGTGTTTAGCCCTATATAATCAGCTGTCACTTGATTGAGTGTCCACATCATCCACATTCCTATCTAAAAGAATAGGCTTATTGGTGTCTGCTAAATTACTGACTTTAAAACCCTAGTGAGAATCAAGATCATCAATGGCACTCCCACTAAGATCCATAGCACAACCACAATTCCTGAAGGCCAGTCAATGGCAAGGACTTGGAGTCTTGGATGCATGCATCCAGGCAAGATGTTAAGAAAATGTCTAGAGATGCACCTTAAATGAGGTATACATAGCATATCCTCTTACCTTTTAAGCTATTTTTTTTGTAATAAATATATTATAAATAAATGTGAGGAAACAATACTGAGGATGAAAACCCTCCAAAATTGTCTATTATAATATTATAATAAAATGTTAGAATTAGAAATGGAGGTACCATGGTTCCCATTCCTTCAATGCATCACATTCATTTGAATATGAGATGGCGCACTAATGTTAATGTTTTGCAATTTATGTGGATTGTTAATTCTGATATTCTGATTTTCAACTTTGCAAGTGGGATATTGATATCTGGTTATACTTATGTAATTATGGATGATGATACTTCATGCTGTGATACATATGTAATTATCCTCTCTCTGTCATGAGTACTTGAGTATTTGTTGGGCTTGATACGTCTAGGTACCCCCCCCACCCCCACCCCCACCCCCCAACAACAACTAATAATAGTGTGTGGTCTAAATAATCACAGAGAGAGGAATGCGTTATGGGAGGAGCTTCATGGAATTCAAGGTTTATGGGAAGGCCCTTGGTGTTTGGGGGGGGGGATTTTAATGCGATAAGATTCACAATTGAGTCAAATAATCCTAGGTAGGCCATTACAACTAGTATGAGGAAGTTCAATGACTTCACTAATTCCTATGAGTTACGAGAGCTTCCTTTACTACAGGCTACCTACACTTGATCCAACTTCCAAGAAAACCCAACTTGCTCGAAGCTTAATAGATTCCTATTTAATGAGGGTTAGGAGAGCCACTGGAGAGGTTTGGTGGCTAAGGCCCTACCTAGGATAACCTCTAATCATTGCCCTATAGAAGTAGGACAAGAACCTCTTGGTAGTGGACCTAGACCATTCAGGTTTGAGAACATGTGGCTGACACATCCAGACTTCTTGCCTAAGGTCAAGGAATGGTGGAGTGAAGAGATGAGAGAAGTGAAATGGAATGGAGTTAGATTCCACAAAAAAATAAAAAGGTTGAGAGGCAAAATAAAAGAACGGACTAAGGATCAATTTGGAAGAGTGGAGGAGGTAAAAGCTAGATTATTGGTTCAAATTGAGGATTTAGATGCAAAAAAATCCCAAGGGATGATGGATGAGCAAGACAGAGAAAAGAGGTGGAAACTGAAAAAGGAGTTAGAGGAGACTTTGTTGAGGGAGGAGATCTCTTGGAGACAAAAGTCCAGACATAAGTGGATCAAGGAAGGGGATGGGAATACCAAATTCTTTCATGCTTTGGCTAATGGGAGAAGGAAAAATTTGATACTAAAGTTTGAGGTTGATGGTGTGAAGATAACCTCTCAAGAAGAGATTGCCATTAGGATTGTGGATCATTTCAAATCAATCTTTCAAAGACCCTTAGAGAATCGGTTGACAGTTGGGGAGGAGAATTGGCCAACTTTGAACCAAACAGATAGGGGATGGCTAGAAAGAATGATTGAGGAAGAGGAAATTAAACAAGCTGTTTTTTCTATGGATAGGGCTAAGGCACCGGGTCCAGACGGATTTACAATGGCATTTTATCAGGATTGTTGGGACATAATCAAAGAAGACTTAATTGGAGTATTTAGAGAATTTGAGGATAAACATTTTGTGAGTCCTAGAATCAATGCCACCTTTATAGCCTTAATTCTCAAAAAGACTGATGCCAGACACCCCAAAGATTTTTGGCCAATCGGCCTGGTGACAAGCATCTATAAGATTCTGGCAAAAGTGCTCTCTAGGAGGATCAAAGTAGTTCTCCCCTCTCTCGTTAGCCAAGCACAAGGAGCCTTTATACAGGATAGACAAATTACAAATCAGATCCTTATTGCAAACGAGAGTGTGGAAGAGATGAAGAGATCGAGCAGAAAAGGCTTTGTTTGCAAACTGGATTTGGAAAAGGCCTATGACTTAGTGGATTGGAGTTTCCTGCTGGAGATGTCAAGAAGATGTGCATTTGGGGATAAATGGTGTAATTGGATAAGAGGATGCTTAAATTCTTGTCGTTATTCAATGTTGGTGAATGGGGTGGTTAAGGACTTCTTTCCAGCCAATAGAGGCTTAAGACAAGGGGATCCACTCTCCCCTTTCCTCTTTACACTTGTTGHTGATGTYTTTAGTAKGATGATYTCCMAAGCAGATGAGGAGGGCCAAATAAAGGGATGGAGAATAGGGAGTAGAGGCATTCCAGTAACTCATCTTCTGTGAAGGGAATGAGTTGAGCAAGGTGGAGAACCTTAAGAATTTAATAAGAACTTTTGAGAGTGTCTCCAACTTGAGGGTAAACTTTGATAAAAGTTGTGTGGCTGGAGTAAACATGGAGAATAGGGAGTTCGAATCCATTGCAGAATGCTTAGGTTGCAATACTTCTTCTTGGCCTTTGACATACTTAGGGCTACCCTTAGGAGCCAACCCTAAAGAAAGTAGTTTCTGGGCCCCTATTGKGGAGAAATTTGATAAGTGCTTGGCGGCTTGGAAAAAGAATTACATCTCAATAGGGGGTAGGCTGACTTTGATTAAGGCTACTCTTGCCAACCTTCCAACCTACTTCCTTTCAGTATTCAGGATTCCTCCAAGGGAGGCTAAGAAAATGGAGAAGAGAATGAGGGACTTTCTATGGGAACCAGGAGAGGTGAAAAAGGATCACTTGGTCAGATGGGAGATAGTTAACAAACCAAATGAAGAAGGGGGTTTAGGGATAGGGAACATAATGTTGAAGAATGTAGCCCTTTTACGGAAGTTGTTATGGAGATGGCCCCAAGAGAGAGAGAGAGAGAGAGAGAGAGATTATGGTATGAGGTGGTGGCAAGCATTCATGGTTGCTTAGGAAATGGTTGGGATTCTGGGATATCTCGCCGAGCTACCCTTACTACACCCTGGAAGGCTATACACAGTATTCTCCCTCGCTTCCTCAAATTCATCAGGTATGATGCTTGTTCTGGTAATGCTATTTTGTTCTGGGAGGATATTTTGGTGGGTACTCAACTCCTCAAAGATTGTTTCCCCTTGCTCTATTCCCTTTCCCTTCACAAAAATGAGACAATTGCAACTTTTCTCCCGAGCCCGTTAAATCCCTTATATTTAAACTAGGACTTTGGTTTTCGTAGAGGGTCAAGAGATGGTGAGTCAAGTTGTGTTATTGAGCTAATTCATTTACTAGAATCCGTTTATTTGGACCCCACTTTTTCTAATCATAGGGTTTGGACTCCTCTTCCAAAAGGTACATTTACTTGCTCTTCCTTTCTAAGATCCCTCAGTTCTAACCCCATTTCCCAAGGATTCCCTTTCAAAGAAGTCTGGGCGCGACCTATTCCCCCAAAAATTGTTGTATTCTACTGGGAAGTTTTCTATGGGAAAACCAATACTTCGGAAAACTTACAGAAAAAGAGACCCTCTCTTTGTCTTTCCCCAAATTGGTGTTCCTTGTGTACGGCTGAGAATGAAGACTGTTTCCATTTGCTGATCTTCTATTCCTTTGCTACAGCTATATGGAGTTGGAGCCTTTGTTTATTTGGAGGTAGGCGGTCTATGCCTTCTGATTTAAGCTCGTTATTCAACCCATCTGTTTTTGTTTGGCACACTAGAAGAGGATTAGAATTTTCTTAGATTAAGTAAGGTCATGTGGAAATGTGTCAGGGCAGACACTTTGTGGACTCTTTGGGAGGAAAGGAATGCAAGAATTTTCTTAGAGAAGGAAAGAGGATTAGATTAAGTGAAGGACTGCATCCTAATAAGAGCAATCCATTGGCTGAAAACTGTGGATATTTTTTATGACTTCTCCTTTGATGACTTGTGGAGGAATTGGCTAGTAATAGCTAACACTTCAATAAAGAAGAATAGAATTCTGTCAGAATGGGTTCCGCCTTTGGAAGGCGTCATCAAGCTGAACTTTGATGGAAGCAGCCAAGGCAACCCCGGGCCTTCAGGTATAGGGGGTATCCTGAGAAATAAGGACAGCAACATAATTTTCTTATTCTCAGGACCAGTGAGAGTGGGGGACTCCACAAGGGCAGAAATTCTTGTTGCAGTACAAGGAATTCAGATCACTAACCAGCTTGGAGTGGAGCATCTCCTAGTTGAAGGGGACTCTCAGGTGGTAACAAGGTGGCTTCTAAACCCGGGCACCACCATTTGGGGCTACAAAGATCTCATCAAAAAAGTAAAGTGGTTAACCAGCAATATGAGAGTTGAGGTAAAATGGGTTAGTAGGTCTGCTAATTCTATGGCTGATGCTTTAGCCAAACAGGGGGTTTCTAGGGAAGATATTTTTTGTGCATCTTTGTAAGTTGTTATTAATCTGGAAATTTGTACTTAACTAGCCCGGAGAGGTTGCAACTCGTGCCTCTCCTTGGGGACTTTGTACTATTGTCTATTGCTGATTAATAAAATTATTTCAATTATCAAAAAAAAAAAAAAAACTGCTAGCTTAATCTATGTATACACCACAATTTTCCATTCTCTTGTAGAGCTGGTATATGTTTTCTCTTGAAAACAGGTGAATGGAACTATTACTATATTATGTTACATATGTTCTAATATTATTTTAAAGAAAAATTAGATTAATCTTTTAACTGTTCATGCTGTCCTTGTGTTGAAATATTTTATTTGTTGAGTTCATCATCTTTAGGTCAGGCGCAACTTGGACCAGGCGAAGACAGTGTTGGAGGCTTTGGTTAAGGTACAACATCTTTCTGGTGACAAATTTAAAATCTCCTTAATTTCTTTTGTTCTTTTTTAGCTTGTAAAGGTATTGAACCAACCGCAAGGATACAAATTCTATTTGCTAACAAAATAATTGGTTGCAGAGGGAAGAGAAAAAAAGAGAGGTCATGGAATGTGAAGTTAACCTTCAGCGTAATCAAATGAAATATAAAGTAAGTACATGATTTCAAGTCTCGTCTGTTTTGATTGCAACAATATTTTATAGTGCTTTTTTATTTTATTTTAATTTGCTTCAATGAGTGGAGTATATCCCAATTATATGGATGAAATTATCATTTGTATGCGACATGTGCAGAGCATTTAATTCCTATAAATCATCTGGAGTTGGAAATATGAAATCAAGCCAGTCAGTAAAAAAATTGCAAGTGCTCTGGTGGATAACCTCATGATTAAGGAGGTACGATGCCAATGGTTTAGCAAAGTATTCCTTTGCATTATCATATCTAAGCACTTTGATCCTAGCATCAAACTGGGTTAGGATCATTTGGTGGAAGTTTTGGGTCAGGGCAGGCACCTCATCTCGTGAACGCATAAGATAAACCCAAGAAAACTGGGTGTGGTCATCAATAAATAACAAAAAATACTTGTACCCACCCATAGAAGGAATGTGATATGGCCCCCAAACATCAGTATGCACAATATCAAAAGAACTATTACTCCTTTTATTACTCAATGAATAAGAGTTTCTACAATGTTTAGCAAACTCACAACTTTCACACTTCAACTGAGATGACTCAACARMYTCAAACAAAGTAGGAAACAGACTCTTCAAGGACCGAAAAGATAAATGACCCAATCGGTTATGCTTTGGCATAACCGGACTCACAACCTGAGAAATAAGTAACTTCTTATCCACTGACTCTTTCCGACGAGAACTTTCCCCGAGCAGATAGATCCCATTCGTCTCATGGCCAGTCCCAATCACCTTCTTCGTCTCCAGGTCCTGAAAAACACATCGGTTAGGAAAGAAAGTTACTGAGCAGTTCAAATGTTTGTTAATACTACTAACGGAAAGGAGGTTAGTATCCAGTTTAGGGACATGCAAGACAGAGGACAAGGATATAGTATCCGACAGTTTGATGTCACCCTTGCCAAAAATAGGGACAAGAGAGCCATCAGCTATAGATACTTTATCCCTACCAGAAGATAAGTAATAAGTAGTAAACAAGGAGGGCAAGCTAGTCATATGGTCGGATGCACCTGAATCTCTTACCCAACAAGGTTCAGTAGTACCTAGAGCAGAGGCATGGTAGGCTGAGGCTCGAGTACCTGAGTGTGCAAAGGCCGATGTGGCCGGGGCTGACGATGACTGCGGTAACTGAGCTGAACTGCCAAGTTCCTTCTCCATTTGTATTAGAGCAGCCCGAACTGCAGCTAAGGTCTCTAATGGTGTGCCTCTTGTGCTAGATGAG